TCGTCTTGAACTCCTGGACTCGAGCAATCCTCCCGCCTTGGCCTTCCAAAAGTGTTGGGATTATAGGCGTGAGCCACCGTGCCCAGCCTGCTCAGTAAACTTTAATAGTGAAATAGATGAAATTGAAATATCTGGTATCATGAACTTAATTATACAGTCCTGGGAGACTATTGTATTGGTTACTAGGTTCGGCTGTATCTGAAAGAGTCTCCAAATAAGTGATTTAAGCAAGATAAACATGTATTTTTCTTTCACATAAGTGAACCAGTGTGGTAGTTCTGTTTAATGAAGTCCCAGGCTCTGTCTCTCTTGTTACTCCAATATTCTTAGGGTGTTGCCCTCATGTGCCTGACCCAGGGTGACTCACTCCCACTTCTTCATCCAGCCACAGGCAGGGGGAAAATGCCTGACCTGGAAGTTGCCTGTGTCATTTCCAGACACTTCTTATTGGCCAAAACTTAGTCACCTGTTCATATGCTACCTGTAAGGTTGGGTTGTAAAAGTGTTTCTTTGGGGCAGTTATATGCCCAGCTAAAAATCTGTTACACAGTGAGGGAGAAGTGAATATATTAGGGGAATAACCAGCCATCTCTGCCACAATCAAGACTTTGTTCTGTACTTCTTTGAGTGCTGCATAGTATTTAACTGGCTTATCCCTAAAGTCTGAGTAAATTCTTCTTATTAGTTCTTTTGTATGAAAGACTAAGGTCTTTGGGTCTTGGATTTAACTGCTGCTGGAGCAATAAGAACCCTAAGGAGTATTCACAGAAATGTTTCCTTTTTAAAAATTTTTTAGTTTCTAGAGACAGGGTCTTGCTCTGTCACCCAGGCTGGAGCGCAGTGACGTCATCATAGCTCACTGCAGCCTCAAACTTTTAGGCTCAAGTGATCTTCCTGCCTCTGCCTCCCAAGTAGCTGGGACAGGTGCGTGCCACCATGTCTAGCTAATTTTTTAATTTTTTGTAGGTTCTCGCTATGTTGCTCAGGTTGATGTCAAGCTCCTGGCCTTGCTAGGCTCGGTGGCTGTGTCTCTACAAAAAATAGAAAAATTAGCTGGGTGTGGTAGCGTGCGCCTGTACTCGCAGCTACACGGGAGGCTAAATCAGGAGGATCATTTGAGCCTAGGAGTTTGAGGTTGCAGTGAGCAATGATGATGCCACTGCACCCTAGCTGGGGTAACAGCGTGAGACCCTGTCTTGAAAAACAAAACAAAAAAAGATAAAACCAACTCCTGGCCTCAAGTGATTCCTGGCTTGGCCTCCCAAAGTGCTGGGATTACAAGCGTGAGTCTGGGCCTGACCAGAAATGTTTCCTTTTTATCTAGGCAACAATGGGAAAGAAAAGTATTAGTATACATTTATTACAATGATAGCATGACATTTAACCTGTATTTATAACTTGTTTTCCATTAGTTTACAAAAAGTTAAAAAAATGAGAAGAACCCTTTTGTCACTATTTGATACTATAAATATAAAAAATAAACATTAGTTCTTATAGCTGAAATGGTAGAATCTGGTAGTTGAACTGTTTTATCTGCTTTGCCTGCTGTGATGGTGCATTCTTCAGTGCTTCTTAGACCTTATTTCGGGTCCATATTTGTGATTTTGGTCATATCTGCCTATCAGTACTATGCTTTACTTAATATATGTACATAAATCTACTTTAAATTAATTTCCTTCTTAAACTTAGCTTCCTTCTAAGCAATAATCCATTAAAACATAGGGTTCGTGTTTTAACGTATGCATGAAAATGAATAATTTTTAAAATAAAAAATGTCCTTTAACTACCTACCAGCATCTCCTTTAATGCCAGTGGTACAAACTCATACTTAAGGAAATGGTGCTTTACCTCATTCCCTAAGCCACGCTGGTAGTTTTTTTTTTTTTT